GAGGATATGATCATAATGTCTGTGGACAACCCAAAATTAAACCAAACTCAGAATTCTAAAAGATCTTGACAGGCTGATATAATGAGCTGGATCTCACAAGATTGTGCACAAAAATTAACAGCTCAGAACAAGACAGCCAAGGCTCCATGATAAAAAATGTATCATAGTTGTTACATTTAAAACTTTAGGGGGTTTGGGCCGGGGCTCCGTGGCTCACGCCTGTAATCCCAGCACTTTGGGAGGCCAAGGCAGGCGGATCACGAGGTTAGGAGATTGAGACCATCCTGGCTAACACAGTGAAACCTCGTCTCTACCAAAAATACAAAAAGTTAGCCCGGCGTGGTGGCGGGCGCCTGTAGTCCCACCAGGAGACTTGGGGCAGGAGAATGGCATGAACCCGGGAGACGGAGCCTGCAGTCAGCCGAGATCGCGCCACTGCACTACAGCCTGGCCTACAGTTCGAGACGCCGTCTCAAAAAATCAGTAAATAAAATAAAATAACAAACTTTAGGGGTTTTGGATAACCAGCAGTTCAGGTAAGTCCATGTAAGTCACAAGTGTGTTGTGGTTGCCAAAAATGCAATGCCTGTGTTATATTTCAACAAATAGTTTCCTTTTAAAAATGTAATGCGAACATATTCGTACACTGATGTTCTTAGCAGCATGATTCACAATAACCAAAAGGTTACTTCGAGAGTCCGTGCAGAGGAATGGGTAAGCAAAATATGTTCTAGCCTTACAATGGAATATTATTTGGCCTTAAAAAGGAAAAAAATTCTGGCCAGGCACGGTGGCTTATGCCTGAAATCATTACTAGCACTTTGGAAGGCTGAGGTGGGTGGATCACAAGGTCAGGAGTTTGAGACCAGCCTGGCCAACATGGTAAAACCCCGACTCTACTAAAAAATACAAAAACTAGCCAGGCGTGGTGGCGGGCACCTGTAATCCCAGCTATTCAGGAGGCTGAAGCAGGAGAAGCACTTGAACCTGGGAGGTGGAGGTTGCAGTGAGCTGAGATTGCACCACTGCACTCCAGCCTGGGCAACAAAATGAAATTTTTTTTTTTAAAAAAAAAAAAAAGGAAGAAAATTCTGACTTATGCTTCAAACTGGATGGACCCTGAGGACTGAGTGAAATAAGCCAGTCATAAAAAGGCAAATATTGAGGAATTCACTTCAACAAGATGCCTAGAGTAGTCCAATTCATAGATAGAGAAAGTAGAATGGGGCTGGCCACAGACTAGGGGGAGAGAGGATGAGGAGTTGCTGTTGAATGAGGGCGGAGTCTCTGTTTGGGAAGATGAAGAAGTTCTGGAGATGGATGGTGGCGACGGTTGCACAACAATGTGAATATACTTCATGCCACTGAACTGTATGCTTACAAACTGTCAAAATGGGCCAGGCACGGTGGCTCACACCAGCACTTTGAGAGGCAGAGGCGGGTGAATCCCCTGAGGACAGGAGTTCGAGACCATCCTCACCAATATGGTGAAACCCCGTCTCTACTAAAAATACAAAAATTAGCCAGGCATAGTGGTGCATACCTGCAATCCCAACTACTCGGGAGGCTGAGGCAGGAGAATTGTTTGAACCCAGGAGGGAGAGGTTGCAGCGAGCTGAGACTGCGCCACTGCACTTCAGCCTGGGCGACAGAGCGAGATTCCATCTCAAAAAAAGAAAGGCAAAATGATCATATTTACATTAATACATATTACCATAACACGTATTAATATATGTACCATAACATGTATTTATACATATAAGTAACACATATACAAATAAACAATGTATATTTATACATTACAAATAATTATACTGTATTGTATACAATATTGTATATTTATACAATTATTTATAATTGTATAAGTGAGCCGAGATTGCGCCACTGCACTCCAGCCTGGGCAACAGAGTGAAACTCCGTTTAAAAAAAAAAAAAAAAAGGAAGAAAATTTTGACTTATGCTTCAAACTGGATGGACCCTGAGGACTGAGTGAAATAAGCCAGTCATAAAAAGGCAAATATTGATGAATATACAAATAATTATACTGTATTATATATAACATTGTATATTTATACAATTATTTATAATGTATAAATATTTATTCAGTCCACATAATGTTCTGAGAAATTTCCTTATGATTTCCTTGTAAATGAAAGGCAGGAAGGGGCTAGATGCGAGAGAAACTGGACACTGTATATTTATACAATATAAATTAATATAAATAATTGTATAAATACTGTAAATTCAGTTTACAATAATACATATTACCATTTTTTTAAGAATCCAAAATATGCAATGCAATCATCTGCTCCATTAATGTGAGCAAAGGTCACTGTCGGCTTCCATACTCTGCTCTCAGAACATACCTGAAAAGAGTGAAAACAGGCCTACCTGACTCGCCTGCTCCACGAGCCTCTCCTCCTTTCCTCTCGCGTGGGCTTTGTCTCTGAACCGGGATGGTTCCTCTCCCTCAATGAAGGGACTACTGGCCTCTTGGAAAAGGAGGAAGCTCCCAGCACATGTGCTGCTGCGGGGCCCCAATGTCTCTGTTGCTCCGGTTCCCGGGATCCCAGGGGTCGAAGGTCCATTGGCCAGAGGAGCCCCCGGGACACTCAGAATACGGGCATCCCTCAGGGAATCTTCCAGAAGCCTTAGCTCCCTGCCCCACTTCCTCTCTGACCCACTCTCCAACACACACACACACACACACAAACACACAACCATCCTCAAGTCTCTGCCTCCCAGCGCAACAAAGGATTGGTATATTCATGTACTCTACAAATACTCAGAGTTTGAGAGAAATTGTAAAATAAATTCTTTAAAAGATTTACCAGTTCAAGAAATGCATATCATGTATATGAATGATAATATCTATTAAGTGCCACTATTATCAGAATTTATATCATTTCTCTCACCCCCTCTAAATAAATTAGTCTGTGAAGCCGAGACAGGAAAAGAGCTGCCCCGGGTAGAAATCCACAAGTGGGACCAGGGTGCTGGGTCCCTGGGGATACCAGGTCCCAAGAAGAAGGCAAGAGTGAAGAGGGAATGGGTATTCCACATTTCCAGTGTCTACAGCGGAATCTCCCAGGGCGTCCTGCCTCTTTCTCCTCCCAAGGCAGGAGAAGGGACTCACCTAGCTGGCCAGGAGGGAATGGAGGGTACCAGGCCAGCTCCTTCTCCCTCCTTTCTCTTGGGAACCTGCTGGAAGCCCACAGACTACTTCTCTCCTCTGGGCCAGGGGAGGAGGCTTCAGGGGGCTAGGTGGACTGCTTCTGAGGTTGAGAGTGAGAAAGCCCTTTATTAAAACGTGCCCCAGTCCTCCAATGGAACGTTTATCAGGAATGAATTTAACATTGGGATCTCCACCTGCCTAGCCCCTCAGCCCTACTTCTCAATTGGTTCAGAGCTCATGTGGGAAAGAACGGTTCTCCTCACTCCCCCGCCCATGCCTGACACACCCAGCACCGCGCCTCTTACGTGGCGGGCAGGTTTGGGTGGGAAGTCTTCAAAGCTGGTTCTCACAGTGGGAGCCTGCACGAGGCGCAGGACATGCCAGTGGCTTATAACCTCTGGGGTCAGCAGCACCTGATAGCCACCAGGCAGTCAGGGCATGACTTTTTCATTCTTCTCCTATTCTGGAACAATGGGAGTTTTAGACAGGTAACCCAATAGACCCAGCATTTAGCCTCCTTGAAGAAAACACCAGAGTCTCAAATAACAAAACAAAACTAAATCCAAAGGGCTGTCCAAGTCCTCACTGTAACTCGAAATGGCATTCGGAACATTTATGGAGACCAGAAAATACAAGACCCAAAACCTGCTGGGCCTCCTTCTCTCTGGCCAGTACGCAAGTCATCCAACCACTGTCCATGCGTGATCTGTCCAATCTACAGACCAAGCCCAGCTGGAGACACCACCAACCCATCCTTATTTATTCTCTCAACCAAGTAATTTCCAGATTTCCATTTCACCTTGCTAGAGAGCCATGTTTATATCTCTAAAGCTTCAATCCCTCTTTAAGAACAAGAAATTAACAAAATCACAACGGCACTTCCTAATGGTATTAAACACAAAACTGTCATGCTTATAGAAACCTGAGAGCTTACGTAGTTAGTTCCACCTCCTCATTCCCCAGAGGAAGTGACTGTGAAGCTGCAAACTCAGTACATAACCCAACTGTAACTGGGAAAACTGGGATATAAACTGAATATTAGAGGATATTAAGAAATTAGTATTAACTGTATTAGTTGTGATACTGCTATTTTAATTACATAGGGAAACTTCCTTCTCCTTCCTTTCTTCTTTCCCTTTTTCCTTCCCTCCTTCCTTCTTTCTCTCTCTCTCCCCGCCCTCCCTTCCTTCCTTCTTTCTTTCCTTCCTTGGGTGAAGGAACAGAGATTCACACTACTGTTAGTATGGGTGTAACATCAAGATGTCTCCAATTTACTTTTTTTATATACACGTGTCTTTTTTTTTGAGATGGAGTCTCGCTCTGTCACCCAGGCTGGAGTACAGTGGTGTAATCTCGGCTCACTGCAAGCTCCGCCTCCCAAGTCAAGCGATTCTCCCACCTCAGCCTCCCAATTAGCTGGGATTACAGGCACCTGCCACCATGCCCAGATAATTTTTATATTTTTAGTAGAGTTGGGGTTTCGCCATGTTGGCTAGGCTAGTCTCAAATTCCTGACTTCCAGTGATCCACCCACCCAGGCCTCCCAAAGTGCTGGGATTATAGGTGTGGGCCACCATGCCCGGCCAACATGTATCTTTTTTCAAGCTTTATTGAGGTATGACTGACAAATAAAAATGGTATATATCTAGGGTATACAGCACATTTTGATATATGTATACACCGTGAAATGATCACCACGATCAAGCTAATTAACATACCGATCACCTGCCATCATCACCCCTTGTGTGCGTGTGATGATGGCACTTAAGATCTACTCTCTTAGCAAATATCTTCACTTTTCTTTAATGGAGTGAGTTATAATATATAAACAGCTGGCCTGACCTAGGGTATACACAGCTGGTTAGTGGACGAGCTGGTGAACAGCAAGGGTGGTTCTTGCCAAGGCTGTTTTCAAAGTGCTATATTCTCAACACGGGAGCAGCTACACAAGACGCCCTTCGGACAGCCACACGGGCCCTGCCCACTCAGCTTGAGGAGGTTCTATGCGCTCCCAATGACAATGGCAGACAAACCATACTTCAGTGAAAGAGTAACTGGCTAGGTTGGCTTCTTTGTCTGACCTTAATGGCCAAATATTCATGTAACATTGGCCCAGGTAACATTTGCTCTGAGTTTCAAAGATCATATCAGTGCACCAAGGAACTCGAATCTTCGATAGCATAGTAACATGACATAATAGAATCTGGATATAATCACACAATAACAATCATGAACCGCTTGCTGTGTACCAGGGACTATTCTAAGAATTAACAAGAATGATCTCAGTAAATCACAACATCCAATGAGATTATCATCTCCATCACATTGATGAAGTAACCAGAGCACAGAGCAGGTAAGAAACCCACCAAAACCACAGAGCCCTACACGACAGTCAGCATTTTGGATGACTCAGCCATACATGCCCCTGTGATCACACTCCATTTCCGGATAGTCACATTTCATGTTTTTCACTGGGAGGAATGGTCCAGGGATAATTTCTTCTCATTCCTGTCTTTAAAAATAGTACAAAAGGATAAAAACAAAAAGTAAAAGAGAAAAATAAAATCTGCCCCGGAGGTTAAAACAACATATCTGATGTCAAAAAATTTTTTTTCACTTTGTTTTTCTCAACAAAAATTCAAATCACTCAAGTACTGCTTGACTCTCTTCTCCACACAAACCTAGGCAAGAAGTCCATAGTACCCTCTACACACACCTAGGCAAGAAGTCCATAGTACCCTCTACACACACCTAGGCAAGAAGTCCAGACGGCTCTACAGTTTCTCCTCCAGAGAACTCCGTGGGCCTGGCGTGGTGGCCCATACCTGTAATCTCAGCAATTTGGGAGGCTGAGGCAGGAGGATCACTTGAGGCCAGGAGTTCAAGATCAGCCTGGGAAATATAGAGAAACAAAAAAATAATAATAATAAAAATAAAAATAAGTAAAACTAAAAATATTTTTTAAAAAAATAAGTAAAAAAGGCCAGGCACGGTAGCTCACATCTGTAATCCCAACACTTTGGGAGGCCAAGGCAGGAGGATCACTCGAGGTCAGGAGTTCGAGACTAGCCTGACCAACATGGTGAAACCCTGTCTCTATTAAAAATAGAAAAAAATTAGCCAGGTGTAGTGGCGCACACCTGTAATCCCAACTACTTGGGAAGCTGAGGCAAGAGAATTACCTGAATCCAGAGGCAGAGGTTGCAGTGAGCCGAGATCATGCCACTGCACTCCAGCCTGGGCAACAAGAGCGAAACTCCATCTCAAAAAATAATAATAATAAAAATAAGTTAAAAAATAAGTTAGCCAAGCACTGTGGTACACACCTGTAGTCCTTGTTACTCAGGAGGCTGAGGCAGGGGGATCGCTTGAGCCCAAGAGTTCAAGACTACAGTGAGTCACAAAATTAACTTAAAAATTAATTTTTTTTTAATAGGATCTCACTCTATCACCAAGGCTGGAATGCAGTGGTACAATCTTGGCTTATTGCAGCCCCAACCTCTCAGGCTCACGCAATCCTCCCACCTATCTCACTCTTTTGAGTAGCTGGGACCCCAGGTGTGCACAACTACACTCAGCTAATTTTTTAATTTTTTGTAGAGACAGGGCCTTGCTATGTAGCCCAGGCTGTTCTCAAACTCTTGGCCTCAAGCCATCTTTCCGTCTCAGCTTTCCAAAGTGCTGGGATTACAGGCGTGAGGCACCACGCCTAGCCCTAAAAATTAAACATTTTAAAAAAGGAAAAAACTATCCAAAGGCTGCCCAGTGGCCAGCAGAGGCCTCTCATCATGATATGCCAGAAAGTTACCAGTTACTCCCTTTAAGGACTCTAGGCGAGTTTCTGCAGAAAGAGTGACACGGGAAATAAATCATAGCTGGCCTTCCAGTACCTTTGCCAACTTCTCCAGTATTGATAATGACTTTGAACTAAGCTTTATAATTTAATTACTTCTTGAAACTGGTGCCTTCTGAAGCTAACATGAGATACAGACCATTCTTCAGAAGAATGTACTCAGTAAAAAAAGACAGAGAGAGAGAGAGACGCGGTGGAAAAAAACTTAGACCCAAAGAACCGATCCCAGAAAAGGAGACATTCTCTTAACCCATCCTAGAAATGCCGAAATGTCTTAGGATAAATTGGGGAAGCTGCCAGTTGGGACATTCCCTAGTTCTATTCCAAAATCCCTTCCCTACATTTAGTCCAATTTAAGGTATCTCATGTAATCTTGGAAAAGGTCAAAGAATTCTCAAAGGAAGTCAACATCCAACTAAGATACAGCACACAGTATCTGACAGCAGGGAAGGAAGGGGAGACTCAAACCAGCACAAGGACAGAGAGTTCTAACTCCAAAGGGCTTGGGAATCACTGGCATAGAGGTTGCTGTAAAGTCTCCAACTGCAAAAAGAGAAAGGATTTATATCATGGCTACTATCCATACTTTAAAAACATTTGAGCTTCCTCAAATACTAGTGTCAGAGGCATTGGAACCAGATCAACTCCATCTTGAGTAGGGGCTGGGTAAAATGAGGCTGAGACCTACTGGGCTGCATTCCCAGACACTTAAGGCATGCTAAGTCACGGGATGAGACAGGAGGTCGGCACAAGAAACAGGTCATACAGACCTTATTGATAAAAGAGGTTGCAGTAAAGAAGCGGCCAAAACCCACTAAAACCAAGATGGCAACGAGAGTGACCTCCTGTTCTCACTGCTACACTCCCATCAGCGTCATGACAATTTACAGATGCCAAGGCCACGTCAGGAAGTTACCCTACATGCTCTAAAAAGGGGAGGCATGAATAATCCACCCCTTGTTTAGCATATCATCAAGAAATAACCATAAAAGTGGGAAACCAGCAGCCCTCAGGGCTGCTCTGTCTATGGAGTAGCCATTCTTGATTCCTTTACTTTCTTAATCAACTTGCTTTCACTTTACTCTATGGACTTGCCCTGAATTCTTTCTTGCACAAGACCCAAGAACCGTCTCTTGGGGTCTGGATCATGACCCCTTTTCTGTAACACTAGCAGGCTGAAGGATGAAGTAATAATTGAGGCAAAGAGACTACATTTCATATCTGCAAAAGAAATGAACAGTACTATCTGCAAATAACAGGTGCCTCTTACACAGAATACCTTTATTTCCCTCACTGGGAACTTTTCATTCTTTTTCAAAATTTGTTATTGTTAAAATTAGCATTTGACATTCACAAAAAAAAAAAACCAAAAACAAAAAAAACGCCAACAACATGTCTATATCTGCTATTATGACCTCACCATTCATTCACCTCTGAACTGACTTTCAAAACATCGTTAACTTCAGCCCAGCAAACAACAGTCAGGCACAAAGATAAGGAAGACAATTAAATGTTATACTAACAATAAAAACAAATGAGTAATATAATTCTCTGCAGTTGTCAGGGTATGGTTTATGACTTTTACATTAAAAGGACTTTTTCTTTTTATTCTTACAGACAGTACAAAGCAATGATTACCATGGCTAAAGGCAAGTCAGTGGGTGGGGAAAACGGCCCTTGGGAAAGTTTCCAGGCTAAAAAAGCATGTTAACAGTACTTGATGGTGATATTTTGAATACTCAAAGAAAAGTCTGTCTACTCTGCAGCCCAGTCTGTAAGGGCAATGCCAACATTGAAACCAGCCAAGGAACAAGAGCAAACGGACCAATGGCCCGTCTTCAGGCGAAAGGAAGCCAAAACAAAATGGCAGAACCAAAGCTAAGTCTGACTAAATTCTACCCATTCTCCAAGGTAAGGTTTCATTTCAGAACTCTCACAAGAACTCCAATCAGTGTAAACTAAAAATAAAATTCTAAACCCCCCCAACTGACTGAATGGAGGGCCTTCCTCTGGGCCAAGGGGATTCCAAAGTCAACCTGAAAGACTAGCGCAGGGCATGACGGGAAGGGAGGATCAGACACGCCTCATTCTACCCTCCACCCTTTGGAATTCAGGCACCACTGGCCAGCATGCATTAACATTAACACAGAAATCTTAAGACTGAGAAAACAGATACTTTGTAGCAATAAGATACCAAATTCCAGCCTGTCTCTAGTATAGCATCAAGTGACAGAGAGCAGGCGCTGAAAGAAATCAAAGTATTTTACCCCAACATACATTTCTTTGACATGTTTTGAAACGACCCTGCGAAGCTGTCTCTTGTGGGGAAAATCTACATTCTGTAGCGAATCCCATCTCCTTTCCACATCTTTTCCTGTTCCAGGAGAGATCTAACTAAGAGTCTGGTATCTTTACTGTCTAATCTCTCTGAAGCCTGTTACCTGGAGGCTTCATCTACATAACAAAAACTTTGGTCTCTACAATCCCTTATCTCAACCCAGACATTCCTTTCTATGGATTCCACATCTTTAGATAATAACTTAACTCTTTCAACCAACTGCTAATCAGAAAATCTTTGAATGCACCTGCATTCAAAATCTATTCCAAAATCCCTTTCTTTGAATGCACCTGCATTCAAAGATTTTGGAAATCCCTGCTTCAAGTTGTTCTGGCTTTCTAGACCAAACCAATGTACACCTTAAATATGATATTGATTGATGTCTGCCTCTAACTTCTGTCCCTCTAAAATGTATAAAACCAAGCTGCACCCCAACCACCTTGGGCACATGTTCACAGGACGTCCTGGGGCTGTGTCACAGGCTTTGGTCATTCATATTTGACTTAGAAGAAACCTCCTTAAATATTTTACAGAGTTTGACTCTTTTCATCGACATCAGCATATACTCCTCCTCAAAGCCTCAGAGGCCAAGGAAACGGAGGTTTCCATGATGGTTCTTAAGTCTGAATGTCAGAGGCATGTGAACCAGAGCAACTCTATCTTGAATAGGAACTGCGTAAAATAAGGCTGAGATCTACTGGGCTGCATTCCCAGATGGTTAAGGCATTCCAAGTCACAGAATGAGACAGGAGATCGGCACAAAACACAGGTCATAACGATCCTGCTGATAAAACAGGGTGAGTAAAGAAGCTGGCCAGCCACACCCCACCAAAACCAAGATGGTGATGAGAATGACCTCTGGTTGTCCTCACTACTACACTTCTGCCAGCGCCATGACAGTTTACAAATGCCATGGTAATGACAGGAAGTTACCCTATGTGGTCTAAAAAGGGGAGGCATGAATAATCCATCCCTTGTTTAGCATATCATCCAGAAATAACCATAAAAATGGGAAACCAGGCTGGGCACCGTGGCTCACGCTTGTAATCCCAGAACTTTGGGAGGCCAAGGTGGCTGGATCACCTGAGGTCAAGAGCTCGAGACCAGCCTGGCCAACATGGTGAAACTCTGTCTCTACTAAAAATACAAAAATTAGCCAGGCGTGGTGGTAGGCGCCTATAATCCCAGCTACTCGGGAGGCTGAGGCAGGAGAATCGCTTGAACCCACAGACGTGATGGTAGGCGCCTATAATCCCAGCTACTCGGGAGGCTGAGGCAGGAGAATCGCTTGAACCCAGGGAGCGGAGGATGCAGTGAGCCAAGATCATGGCACTTTACTCCAGCCTGGGCAAAAGAGCAAGACTCTGTCTCAAAAAAAAAAACAAACAAACAAAAAGGAAACCAGCAACCCTCAGGGCTGCTCTGTCTATGGAATAGCCATTCTTTGATTCCTTTACTTTCTGAAGAAACTTGCTTTCACTTTATAAACTCGCCCTGAATTCTTTCTTGCGTGAGATCCAAGAACCCTCTCGTGGGGTCTGGATCAGGATCTCTTTCCTATAACAGGACTATATGAGCACAACACATGGTTCGTGCCTTCATGAAGG